GCAGAGCAAGAACAGCCTGCGGGGGGGTCAGGCACGTCAGCATGTGTTGGCACCGCTTCCGTCGCAATGCTGAATGGTGCCACGAGAGAGGCAGGCAACGGGAAGCCTGAAGCCTCAGCACCGGAGCTTAGTGCTACTGCCGCAGCCGAAGGCAAGTTTCGCCCGGCGCGTCAGAAGTGCTCAGCTGGGGAAGCACCAGGAGGGAGGCTGTAGATCTGCCCGGAGAAGTCTTGTCCCACGAAGAACTCTTTGCAGGTGAGAGGGTGCCGTTTTTTTGAAGTCTTTTTGTCTTTCTTTGAGGCGGGGGGAGGGACGGGGGGGCTGTGGCATGTAGCAGAGTCGGCGCCCGGGTCTGAAGCTTACCCTAAAGATTTCCGAAGGCGGAGCAGTTTTAATCTCAGCTCCCTGTCCTTGTGTGCCCTGGATTTAAGTTTGCTGCAGTGGGCACATATTTGGAGGATGTGGGACTCCCCCAAACATTTTATACAATTTGAATGGCCATCCGAAAGAGGGATGACATCCTTGCAGTTATAGCAGCGCTTAAAGCCTAGGGAGCCAGGCATGTCGGAAGTAGCTGCCTCTGACAAAGGAAAAAAAATATTTTTTTTTTGGTAGTTTTAGAGAGAGAAAAAGACAGGAAAAGTGGTATCTAAGTACTACTGGTAACAAACTAACAGGGAAGGTATATGCACGAAGGGAGAGAAAGTCTCTAACGAGTCTGCTGAGCTCAGTCTCAGGACGGAGATGGCAGAGAAGGAACTGAGGAGACTGGTCACACATGCGTACTATTAAGGTACGCTCAGAGCGCCGGGGGGGGGGGGGGGGGTCTGCACGTGTGCAACCGGTACGAGTACTGCTGTAAAGATCTCTGAGCGAAGGCGCAGGGACGCACCAACACCTGGAGTGGAGCGCCCAATCTCGAGTCCTTTACTTAATACATGAACTTGTCTGTTCTTTCATTAAAGTGATTCAACTCCTCAAAGCAGAGGCCCTGGAGGTGTTCTGGACCTCCCTAGGAAATCCTGACAATTGTAGCCAAGAATCCCTTCTCATGAGATTCTGCAAGCTGTGTCTGCTGAATCCACTATGGCCTGGAGAGTGATTTTTGCCACTAGCTTGCCCTCCTCTTTGCAGATCTTAAATTGGGCTCTGACCTCCATGGGAAGCCTCCCCATAAAGTCTGCAAGCTTGGAATAGTTATTAAAATCATATTTTCCTAAAAAAGCCTAGTAGTTAGCAATACAAAATTGCAGGCCTGCAGAGACGATGACCTTTCTCCACAGGAGGTCCCATCTCTTTGAACCCTTGTCAGTCAGTGTGTTCATTAGATAGTGTGACCTGGCCCTTTCCTTAGCTGCCTGTACCACCAGTGAGTTGGGGCTGGGGTGAGAGAACAAATTCAGCTCCTTTGGTGGGGATGAAATACCTTCTGTTGGCTCTCTTCGGTGTGGGGGCATAAGATGCCATATCGCTCCGGATGGCTCTAGGATGGCCTCATTAACTGGGAGGGCCACCTTACTCGGTCCCTCCGGTTGCAGGATATCCAAGAGCAAGTGTTGAGGGCCCTGGACCTCCTCCAGTGGGATCTGGATGTCATCGACAACTCTTTGCAGTAGCTCCTGGTACTATGGTCGTCCACCAGAGATGGAGAGGACAGAGCGATGGCTTTGTCCAAGGATGAAGGAGAGACAACTATTAGAATCTGCAGGTCCTGATCAATGTCTTCCTCCACATACGCTGATGGATCCCTAAGGCGGCCCTGAATGCCTGCCCATGGACCCCAATGAAGCCAGAAGGAGGGGTCAGTCAGCTGTAAGGTACCCAAAGAAATCACTACCAGCAGTTCCTGGGGAAGCCGTATCCGGAGGGATACTGAGTGTGACTCCTTGAATGCCTGTCATGGCTCAACCGTCTCCCTGCAGATAGTCTGAAATCTGCTTCTCCAGCAGTGGTGAGGTCATCTGTACTGGAGCACTCCTGCCGAAGGGCTGTAAGTGGGATGGCTCCTGGGACACCAGAGTAGCATCCTTCTCTGGTGTAGTAATATCCCTCGAGAGGGCTAGGCTGGAGAAGCAAGGAGACTGAGGATGAGGTAAGACTATATCCTCCAGTGTTGTGTAAGTCTCCATATGCCCCAAGTGCCAGCAGTCAAGTCTGATGGAACCAGTGCATCCCTGGAAGCCCGGTAGTCCTCGGACAAATTAGATGGTATCAATGATAAGTGTAGGCCTTGCTGAAGCCCTAAGCACAACTAATAGTATGGACCAAAGACTGTGAACCAGAGTAGGCCTGGCCTCAGCAGAATCACAACACACTAGATATTAGCTAAAATAAGCACATTCCTGAGAGGATGGTATAAGAACATCCAGATCTCTCAAGTAACTGTGTAAACACATTCCCAAGAGATGGTACAGGAACCCACCGACTCCTCCTATGATAAGGATGGGATGACAGGATAATGGAGGAGGATGTTTTGTTCAAACTAGCAGGTACAAGAACAAGGGTGGCAACTAACAACATCTGGAGTGTGACACATAACTTGTTTGTATCGATGTATAAAAGAAGTAGTCAGAGGAGGGGCATCTTTGTATCGGCAGAGGGGAAAGCATCCTGTTATGCTGACGGAGCCTTGTCACAGGCATACATTTGTTAGTGTCCGGTGACCTGGTGGTCAGGGTGCTAGTACTCTGTTTTGCTGACAATGAACCTGGATGAGCACCTTTGCCACCAACCAAGCCTGTGGACTCGCTCTATGAAAACATCGAGGCCGGCTGAATCCACATGCTGCATGTCTCCTAACGCAGTAAACACCAGAGCCCCAAGAATAGCAGCATTAACAACTCTGCAGAGCCAGCAACGCTCCACAGCACTAACAGCTCACAGACAGAACCGGCGGATGTCATTCCTTACGCTTTGATACTGGGGTGATCATTAGAATCAGTGGATCATTTTTTATTTATTTTACAAAAAAAGCTAGGAAGAATAAACACTATTTATAATCGTCTTTACAGGTGCTACAAATAGTTGAGGGAGGACATCCAGGAGAGGACACAGGATTCCAACTCAGATCATGGAGCCATAAGGACCTGGAGAGGCATGGGTCTGCATGGTGCCGCATATCTTGGCAGAAGCACGAAGAGATGTGTGGGGGGGCCAATGGACACTGCTTGAAAGAGTTCCTGGACTCGGTTGCATGCATACCCCCCTGTGGGACCAACACTCAAAGAACTTACCTCTTATCCCATGACTGCCTACTTTGCTTAAGAACTCTTGGTGTGGGTCCTCGTCAAAGGCTTTCTGAAAGTCCAAATACACTATGTCCACTGCATCACCCTTGTCCACATTTGTTAACCTTCTCAAAGAATTATAATACGTTGGTGAGGCATGATTTCCCTTCACAAACGCAGCTTTGACTCTTCCACAACACACTGTTCATCTATGGGTCTGGTGATTCCATTCTTTACACTCATTTGCCTAGTACCGAAGTTCAGCTTACCATCCTGCAATCGCTCGTATCGCCCCTGGAGCCTCTTTTAAAAGTCAGCGTCACATTAGCTGTCCTCCAGTCCAGAAGCTGATTCAAGCAATAGGTTATATATTACAGTTAGCAGTTCTGCAATTTTATATTTGAGTTCCTTCAGAACTCTTGGGTGAATATCACCTGATCTTGGTCACTTATTTTTTCTCAATTTGTTCCAAAACCTTCTCTATTGACACCTCAATCTGAAACAGTTTCTCAGCTTTGACACCTAAGAATGGCTCAGGTGTGAGACTCTTCCTTGCATCTTCTGCAGTGAAGATGGATGCAAAGAAATCATTTTGTTTTTTGGCTTCCTTGAGTGCTCCTTTAGCATCTTGATCGTCCAGTGGCCCCAGCGGATTGTTTAACCAGCTTCCTGCTTCTGATGCGCTTAAAAAAAAATTGCTGTTAGTTTGTGTGTCTTTTGCATGTTGTTCTTTGAATTCTTTTGCGGCTGCCTAATTACACTTTTACACTTGACTTGCCAGAGTTTAAGCTCCTTTCTAGTTTCCTCAGTAGGATCTGACTTCCAATTTTTGAAAGATGCCTTTTTGTCTCTAACCATCTCATTTACCTAGTTTAACCATGACAGCCTTTTTTGGTCCTTGACTCTTTTTTATTTGGGGTATACATGTAGTTTGAACCTCTATTATGGTGTTTTTTAAAAAAGTTTCCATGCAGTTTGCAGGCATCTCACTCGTGACTGTTCCTTTTAATTTCCCTTTAACTAGCCTCCTCATTTTTGTGTACTTCCCCTTTCTGAAGTATCAAAACAGGCGGCAGGGGCAAGAGCATACGAAGCACACGGGACGGAGGGTATAAAGGCAAATGGGTGGGGGTATGTGCGCTTGGAACACACAACAGATGGTGTCAAAGCAGGTGGGCAGGGTGAGAGCATGAAGCACAGGACAGATTCATTTTCATGCAAATGAAGTCAAGAGACCATCTACCTCCCAGTCACATGGGGCTGAAGCTCAGGAGTGCTCACACCCAGCAGAATGGCAGAGGTTTGGAGGGAGGAGGGGGGGGAATTCACCATCGTCAATGGGTAAAAACCTGGCCCTCAGTGTGTGTGTTCACCTTCCTGAAGCAGGGCCTTTACTACAGACAATAGGCACCAAGAGATCACCCTCTGACCCGGTGATTTATTGAGGTGCTTCAGTGTCACCGAGACCAGCCACTGAAGCCTTATTTATTTGAAACTCCCTCAGTTCTGTCTGGACCCTCTCCTGCCCGGGGCTCCGAGAGAGGCAGCATGAGCTGTAATGCTTAGGATACAGTGGGATCAGCATCTACAGTTCCGCATGTTTGTGAGTGGTGATCCCATAGCCTGGAAAGCAACAGCAGTTGTTACACGGAACTTGACAATGTATAGCTCAGCTAGCTACTACCCTCTCCGAACAGCTGGGTGCTGCGTTACAGTGGGGCTTCCCCAGCGTGGGCTAACACATGGTGCTGCAGCAGTACCATGACAGCTGACCTGCAGGATGAGCTTGGTGTCCTGGGGTACAACGGTGACTATGCGGGAGCCTCGCTCCACCTTGCGAAGTGTCTCGTTGGGAGTAGAGGAGCTGCTGAAGCCTGCCTGCAGAACTGAGAATGGCAGAGGCATCAGCAAGGGTATGATAAGTCCCAACATACAGTGCAACTTCCCCAGTCCAGCCACAGGGTGTCTGCCGAGTTCCTGCTGGGAACCCACCCATTACTAGCGATGTTCTAGCAGTGCCTCCGGGCATCAGCCAGCTTCCGAGTCCCACTGTCCCAAGCACCATCGCGCAGTCTGGAGGAGACAGCCACTGCCTGAGTCCAGACACCAGGCAGAGACACACACGAGCAGCTGCCAGAAGCACAGAACATGGACATTGCCATTCTTCCTCATCCTCCTGCTCCTCCACAACACCCCCAAGCTTCCCATGTCCAGGTGCCAGTCAGATGCTGCCCAGCATGGTTCACCCGGGGATCCCTTCCACCCTACGTGTCCCCCACCGGGAGCATCCAGCCTTGTTCTGGGAGGTGAAGGCAAAGCCTGTCAAAGAGGACAAGAGGTGGCTCCCACCAACTGACTGCTTCCCCTGCAGGTGGCCCACACAGCCAGTCCTGTCCCCAGCCGCTTCTGCTCCTGGGGGCACCCTGCACAGTCAGTCCTGCCCGCAGCCACTTCTCCTCCTGGGGGCCAGGCAGGCGACCTGCACAGTCAGTCCTGCCCCCAACCGCTTCTCCTCCTAGGGGCCAGGCAGGCAGGCGGCCTGCATGCCCAGTCTTGCCCCCAGCTGCTTCCCCTCTTTCTGCAGGCCAAGGCACAGTGATTTCAAGTGTCCTTTGGTCACTCCTGTTATATCACAGATCAAAGACAATTTTTGGAGAGTAAGCTACTCCTCCCTGTGCTAGGGAGAGCTGGGAAGTGAGGGAGGGAGCTCCCAGAAGTGGATTAAGAGCCCCCACAGTCACAGCCCATGAGAGGATATAGGGAACTCACTGGCACCAATCAGGAGCAGCCACTCTGGACAATCAAGAAGTGGCACCATGGCCACGACAGGGCGCCTTGGAAGTAAGCTTGTCTAGGTTCCATCACAAGGGCAGAGGGCCCAGGAAGCAAACAGTAAGGCCAATTACATACCAAAGGCCATATCTGAACGTTTACCTTTCAGTGATGTGTCCCTCAAAGATACACACTGGCAGGTGTGGGAGTGGGTGGTCACCAGCAAAAACTCATCATATATGGCAAATGAGGTAATGTTGGAAGCCACCTGTGGAAAGTGAATCCAATGAAATCTCTGAGCACCAGCAGCAGCAGATGAAATCTAATAATCTCACACCGACAAGTGAAACCACATCAAAACAAGCTTTGGTACCTCCACATCATTAATGAAAAAACGGCATCGCTCAGTCAGACCCAGGATGGCCTCCTATAATGAAAAGGATGTACAATTACAATATGTTACAGCATTGGCTTAGTGGCACCATTGTTATAACTGAGATGGGTCTTTGCTATATGCCCATTACTTTTAGACTGTCAGATTTCCAAGGGGACTGGAATGCCTCATGCTTATTTTCAACACACCAGTGCAGTATTGAAGGAAGTTGGGTAGAAATTTGTTTGATCACCGAGAACTCAATGTAAAATGTGTTTACTTGCTTTAAAAAAAAAAAAAAAAAGGGGGGTCTCCAGACCCTTGCGGTTGGAAACTCAGCAACATCTTTCCACTGAAAGCTTCAAACTTGACCTAGGTGGCATCCTTGATAACGAACAGCACACTTGCCATCTCTGAATAACTCTGGTCGGGCAACAACAGCTAATGTCTTGAAAGCCACCAGACCCAGCTGTGCAGTGCGCATTGTTTTACTTAGCTTGTAAGCACCCCAAGGCCCTCCATGCGGCAGCATGGAAACAGGACATTGGGAGCCCACTATAGTAGAGACCAGTGTGTGGACTTGGAGAGGAGATTAACATACAGTTTCTAAAAAGGAAGTGAACTGGAAAAATAAAACCAAACCATAATAATCATTGAATGCAACAATTAGTGACAGCCCTGACAGGAAGTATAAGAAAGACAAGATGGATGAGGTAATATCTTTTATTGGACCAACATCTGTGGGTGAGAGAGAGAAGCTTTAGAGCCACACAGAGCTCTTCTTCAGGTCAGGGAAAGGTACTCTGAACATCACACCTAAATGTAAGGTGGAACAGATAGTTTAGCATCATTAGTTAGCACGTATTCTAAGGGACCATTCAAGGTGAAATGACTAACACCCCTGCAGTCATATGACAAAAAGAGTGGTGTCAGAGTGTTACAGATTGTTGTAATAAACCATGAATCCAGTCTCTCTCTCTTCAGGCCATGAATTTTAGTGTCTAGCAGAGTAATGAATTTAAGCTCCCAGGCTTGTCTTTTGAAAGTGTCGTGCAGGTTTCCTTTGAGGATTAGGATGGGTAAATCAGATACAGAGTGATCGCTTTCTGTCCCAATATTCCTTCGGTAAGGACTTGGCTATACTTGCAAGTTAGAGTGCACTAAATCAGCCCCGGGCGCCCTAACTCCTGAGATGTCCACACTGGCAAGGCACGTATAGTGCCTGGACTCTGCAGCTGGAACGCTCCTGGTAATCCACCTCCACGAGAAACATAACGCTTGCTGCACCCCAGCTGAAACGCCCGGCTGTCAGTGTGGACGACGTGTTGCATTACTGCGCTGTGACTGGCTTCCGGAAACGACTTTAGGGAATTATGGGACAAGCGGCCACTCTTGTCATTGTTTTGAACTCGGCTGCAGGCATGCGGATATCCCCTTTCAAAGCTCTGTGACAGCTGGCTGCTTATCTGCTCTGAGACAAAGCAAACCATTACTGTGGAATGCTGCTGCTGTGAGTGAGAGAGAGCAGGGAGGGGCAGGCGGAAGGGGGTCTGCTGCTGTCTGAACTTACAAGATAGCATGCTGACATGCTCTCTGCCCCCCAAAACACAGTCTCCCCCCCCACACACCCCGTCACACTCCACCACCACCCCCATTTGAAAAGAACACTGCAGCCACTTGCACACTGGGATTGCAAGTGCTGCTAATGTGGCCATGACAGCGCACTTGCCGCTGACAGTGTAAACCCACGGCAGTGTTTTCCCTGCTGCGGTCTCCGAAGGCTGGTTTAACTCCCAGCGCTCTACATCTGCAAGTGTAGCCAAGCCCTAAGAGTGCTGTGGCCTGATATGAGGGGTCTGCCTGGGTGCTTTTGTTTGTGTATTTTGGGTTGGGTTGGGTTCAGGTCCAACTGTGATGACTACCTTAACGAGGCAAACCGACATCTCTCCAACACCACCTACAGTACTATAAAGAACTCAAAGGTCACCCCACATCACAAATTTACCCTGGAACTTAAGGATATAATCAAATCCTTCCCCAAACAACTCCAAGAGAAGTTTTACAAATCCATCCTCCATGAACCCACAGCAGGGACCTTCTACATGCTTCCCAAGATACACAAACAAAGGAACCCAGCCAGTCCCATCATATCTGACCACGACACTTACTTATCGGGACTCCTAGAAACCATTCTCAAACCACTCACCACACAAAGGGCCAGCTTCCTCCAGGACACAACTGACTTCCTCCACAAACTCTGCATTATTAACAACCTCCTTCAGAACACCACCCTCAACCTCACAGATGTCACCTCCTTATATACCAATATCCCTTACAATGACAGCATAGCTGCCTGCCTCAAATATTTACAAGACAATGGACAACCCTCAAATCTCCACCCCAACCACATCCATTTCATCCTCATCCACAAGAGCAAACAGTTTGTCCAAACCATGGGAGCAGCTCTGGATACTAGGATGGCTCCTCAATATGCTAATATCCTTTGCATGGCCACATTGAAGATGATTTTCTGGAGAAATGCATCACAAAACCAATGCTATACCTGAGATACATCCATGATATTTTCATCCTCTGGACAGACGGCTTAAACTCCCTCATACATTTCCACCACAACTTTAACAACCACCCCTCATCCATTCAACTCTCTTTGGAACACTCCCACACCAGCATCAGCTTCCTGGACACCAAAATCAGCTTCAACAATGGAACCCTACAGGCAACAATATGCAAGAAACCCACGGATCAACACACATGCTGCATATATTCTGTAACCACACCAAGAAATCTGTTACCTACAGCCAGCCATTTAGATACTGCAAAATATGCTTCAGGGAGAAAGTTCAGGTTACACACCTTAATACCACCTTCACCAAACAAGGACACTCCACCAGAGAAGTAGATCGCATCATGGAATAAGCCACCCAAATACCCTGAGAGAACCTGCTTCAACACAGAAATAAAGCCCACTCTGACCACCAGCCCCGAGTTGTCACCTACCATCCTATGCTGGAACCCATATGGGTATCATCAAACTACAACCCATACTTAATTGGGACCCCATCTGGAGAGAAATCTTTCCTGAATCCCCACTTCTGGCCTTCAAACAAGCCCCCAGCCTCTCCAAGCTCACCATCAGAAGTATGCTCCCCACAGACCAGGGCACACCAACACCACACTCTACCAGAACAGATGAAAAACCTGCCAACATATCTCCACTGTTACTATGATCAACACCTCCCACAAAACACCTTTCAAGAGCCATAGACGTTACACGTGCCTATCACAAGTCAACATGTGGTGTACCTCACCCAGAGCACTAAATGCCCCAGTAACAACTATGTGGGTGAAACCAGACGGACTGGAATAAACTCACTACACTCTAGAATAAACTCACACAGTAAAGTGATAAAAGACAAAACCACCCTCTCACCTGTGGGTGAGCACTTTTCACAAAGCGATCACTCTATCTCTGACCTATCAGTCCTCATCCTAACAGGACACCTGCACACCACTTTCAACAGACGAGCCTGGGAGCTTAAATTCATAACTCTGCTAAACACTAAAAATCATGGCCTGAACAGAGACACTGGATTTACGGCTTATTACAACAAACCATAATCCACTACCCCCACCTTTTTGTCCTATGGCTGCAGAGGTGTTAACGGGCCACTCTACCTTGACTGGTCCCTTAGAATTTGTGCTAACTACTTATGCTAAACAACCTGTTCCACCTGGCATTTAGCTGTGATGCTCGGCGCACCTTTCCCAAAACTGAAGAATAGCTCTTTGTGGCTTGAAAGTTTGTCTCTCTCACCAACAGAAGTTTGTCCAATAAAAGATATTACCTCCCCCACCTTGTCTCTCTAATATCCAGGGACTGACACAACTACACTGCATACAGGAAGTGTAACAAGTCAGATCCCACAATCCTGTTCAGATGTATTAAGCGTTTAATGTCATAAAAAATATTGACAAGTACTGCATGTTCACATAGTGCAGAGCTACAGTTGCCAGGGGGACCTACCATCTGAACATCCCTTCATTTAAGTCTCCATATTAACGCAGGGTTTTCCATAATAATGCTGGATTTTGTGCATTATAAACCATCAGACATTCTCTGGGCAAGGCATGTGTAGGTGGCTATGCTGGTCACACACAGCTCGCTCTGCAGGCACTAAGGAGGAGAACGCAACGCTAAGGAACGTTTCTAGACCTTGTCCTCCCGATGCTCAGTCCTCCTGGCCCATATGGTAGGTGTTTGGGACTAATTTTCCAGAACTAGGTGCTGAACCCACTAGCAGTTCACTTACTTCTCCACCAATCACGGCCAGTGCAGTCTGCACACATGGAGAAGGGAATCGCACAGCAGAGCCACTGAGGCTCGTCCAAGGTTCGAGGGCTGGAGTGGGAGCCTCTGAAGATTAACACAGACGATTACGGCTATTTTCCAACTTGGCTGACAAAACAAACATTACACCTACACAAACATGCCCCGTTGTCACACGTGCCTCATAAAAACAGCATAGGTGTGTTTACAGCAGAATGTACTTGTATAGAGTACAAGCGCAAGATATGAAACAGAACGGAGCTTGGAGACCATTTGAGCCCAGCATATAGCAAGTGTAACAAAGGGGGAATTTTCAATATGATATGTATATAAATCTTAAGTATGCCTCAGTTTCCCTCTGTACTTTGCATTGCTACCCACTAGGGGTAAAAGCATTGTGTCTCCTCTTGGTGAAGAACAGCAGACATGAGGTGTGCAGGTCACCTTGCCATGTGGGGTGCACACATCAAGTAACTGCCTGGAACCTGCTGAAACTGACCCACATCAATGAAGAATCCAAAAGAGACAATGGGAAGCTCCAATTACCAGAATGTTCACACCTAGCAAATGACCAGAAAGGAGATTTTCCCACACCTCTCAGCAGGGAAGCCAAGCCAAGGCCCCAAAATGAGAACAAAGGGAAAGGTGCCCGATGGCAGAGTGAAGTGCTCCCTTTGAAGAGACACAGGGCTCTCACCTGGGACTGAGGAAGGGTCAGAGAGAGAGAGAGAGTGAACGCACACGAGCAAGCCTGGAATGGAGGCCATAGTGGCTTGGCTGGCTGATGGTACTGTGTTAGCCAGATGGACTAGGTCTTAACTTTTATTGCTCTGTGCTAATCTAAGGACTTCCGATGCCATGTTTCAGTTGAATACCAAACACTACTCTTTGCAGGGCCGGCCTTAGTGAAAATGGTGCCCTGGGCAAACTTGTATTTTGGCGCCCCCCTTCCCCTCCCATCATCACCCCTGGCTCCTACGGCTCCCTGAGCTCCCACCACCACCTCCAGGCCATTATCTATACTTCATATGGAATGTCCACAGGAAAGCCCATTCAATGTATATCGGCGTCTCCCATGGTCCATTGTGAGTTAAGTGTCCCTAGATGAGCCACTTACTTTGACTAGTCCCTTTAAGATGTGCTGGCTAACTACCTTGTGGGCGTTACCCCAGGAGCAAACATTTGAAATACAGGTATAGAGCCAATACTCATAACTTCAAATACAAAAATGATACATGCATACAAATAGCATAAACATATTCAGCAAATCATAGCCTTTTCATAGACATCTTACATGCCACGTTTTGTACAAGATTTGCTGCAAATATATAACAGTGGTTGCAACAATGATCGACATGGTCATGTTTTAATCAGATAACGTCACAATGAGTAACTGCTACAACTAGCAAATTCCTAGGCCACTGTGAGCAGAAGGGCAGAAGTAAGGGTGGCATGGAATATGGTGTATTGTCACACTTACTTCTGTGCTGCTGCAGTGGCTTGTGGTGCCTGGCGGTTGGCCTGCACATCAAGGCAGGCTTCACACTGTCACGTGGGGGCTGCATCTTGCCAGAGCCCTCAGCCCTCCTGGCTCACCATGAGCATTTTTACAGGAAGTACCAAGCAGTAATAACAACAATAATAATAATACACGAGAGAGAGAGAGAGACAGAGACAGAGACAGAGTGAGAGTGTGTGTGTGTGTCAGTCAATCTGTGTTCGGGGACTGTGAGAGGCAGAGAGTATGTGGGTGTGAGAGCTTGTGTGTGTTAGGGAAGTCAGAGAGACCGTGAGAGCACTGTCACTTTAAGTCCCTGCTTCCTTCCTGCTAGGCCCCCAATTCCCTCACTCACGTGAAAGTTTTGCTCCTCCTGCCCCAGGCCTGAGACCAAACAGCTGGGCTGGGGCAGAGCCGGAGCCCTCAGCTGAGGAGTGAGTGAGGGGACAGGGAGAAGCCCGCTGACCCAGCGCAGGGGAGGGACTGGAGAAGAGAGGAGTCTGACCACAGCCAGCCAGGGGAAGCCCGAGCCCCTTGTGGCGCCCCCCTGGCTACGGTGCTCTGGGTGTGGGCCCCGTTTGCCTGGCCCTAAGGCTGGCCCTATCTGTATGGAAAAGTCTGCCTGGTGTCACTGCAAATACTTGAGGAGGTTCATTGATCCCTGAAGAGCGTACAGGTCTCTACCAGGAGTCTCTCTCAGTTGGACTTTCTGAGCAGAGCTCATAACGTGAACAGGAGTGCTGGAGCCCAGGGGCTCAGTCTCGGAGGTGGTGATGCTCCGGGGCCTACCCTGAAGGGAGAGTGGGACCCCTTAGGGGTCTGGCACACTGAAGGAAGGGGTTCCTCCAAGGGACTATTTAACATCTGGGGCACAGCATAATCCCTGCAGATCCATGACAGCAGCTGGGAGAGGGTGGTGGGGTCTATGGGCTCAGTCGAACATTTGTTACATTAGGGATAAAGAGGCAAAAGTCACTGAGTCCCCAATACCACATCGGTCTTTCGAAAGCCACTGAGCTTGGCCTTTCATTTCAAAACACAGCTATGGCTATTCTTTTCTTCAAAAATTAGATACATTCAGATACAAATCAGTACTTTAACGAAGTCCAAAGAGCCAAGTAATGCGAAAAGCATCATCATGGACATGCAAGTCCATGCACGTTCTTATACTCTAACTGGCTAGTTAAACCTCAGGACAGTTCCACGACAGTAATCAGTTCCCAAATCAGCCATCTTGACGGGGATCTTACACTCACCACAGAGGTACTTCAGTATCCGCCCATCAGCTAGCTGCAGAGCTACTGCGCTGGTCTTCGGATTATAGCACAGGCTGATCACATCCCCATCCACAGGCACAGACAAACTAGAAAAAGTTACACCAGAGAGAATGTTACAACGCTACAGTGGATACGCATCCGGTGCACCACACACGCCTCTACGTTGAATGGGGAGGGAAGGGAGAGGCGAGCGGATGCTATTTCTGGTAGTGCTAGTTGGAGGTGAATGGATAGATAACACGTTAGTCTCCATAACTGCTCTCTGCAGAGGGATGTTAAACGTGCACCAATTCAATTAATACTGTGAAGAAGAGTAAAAGTCCTGGCCCCAGTCCCCCACTGGCTTGGGACACGTGCCTGCCAGCAACACTTCACTGATCATGGTGCACTAAAGGACTCACTCTCATCATGGGCATGTGTAACCCCCCTTCCCAGATGGCCAGAGAGCCTGCAAAGCCCACAGCTCTTGCACAGTCAGGCACAACTCAAACATGGTTCAGACCTGTCTACATCACAGGACTGCAACATGTTGGGCACTGCCAGGTTTTAGTGGGCCCCCAAAGAAATGGATTTCTACAACACACGTGGGTGTGTCTGCCCATGCTTCAACCCAATACCCTTTGAATCTAGGAGCTTTACTAGGAAGAGAACTCAGGCTAACCCCATCAGCAGGCAATGGGCACCACTACAAAACATGGAGCTTTCCCAGCAAGGTACCTGGGGCTCACTGAGAGGCTCCTGGAGCATGCTGGGGAGGCAGAGGGGGTTGCAGCTATAATCCTCTCATTGGTCAAAAGGAGTCATTACTAACTTTTATAGTAGCTTGAGTTTTTTGAGATGTTTCGTCCCTACAGGTGCTTAACAATGCACCTGTGCGCTCTCAAATGGAGAATGCAAAGCAGTGGCCATGGTCCCGCGCTTGTGCAAAGCAGCACCTTGTGTCCCCACACGAGGGCATGTAAGGAGGCACAGACCTATTACCAACTGGTTCCTTCTTGACTGTGAAGCAGGGCCTCCACAGCTGAGGGGGAGGAAGACAGGAGGTGGAGCACTCGCAGGGACAAAACACCTTGAAAAACTCAACTTACTGTAAGTTAAGTAAGCTCTCTGGGTATATGTCCCTATGAGTGCTCCCCCATTAGAGACTCCCAAGAAGTAATTCAATGAGAGGTGGGTACTCAGGAGGCAAGTCTAAGATGGTTTGGAGGACTGTGACACCAAAGGCAGTATCATCCCTGGAAGGACGAATAGCAGCATAATGCTTGGCAAAGGTATGGATGGAAGACCAAGTCGCAGCACTACAAATTTCTTATACAGGAATATCCCTCAGTAGAGCTACAGAAGTAGACAGAGCTCTGGTGGAGTGTGCTGTCACGCTGCAGGGGGGTTGCATCCCAGTCTCTCTGTTCAGGCCATGATTTTTAGCAGATGTAACAGGAGGAAGCAGACCCCACTGGGGCTAGAGATTGCTGCATTAGAAGGACCTTGAATCTAGCTCCTCTATCCATCCATGATCTGCCCGTATGTACCTTACCTGTAGACAGGATGTGGGCATCTCCAAGGCAGCATGTCACTATGGGGAAAAGACCTGTGGCAGATCTGGCGGGGCTTAAACCCCAAGGCCTTTGGCATAACCCAGGAGGTGGCAAGCCAAAGTAAAAGAGGAGAGAAGGGATTAGCTCCCTTCTAATCACTACTATAAAATAAACTAATTAGAACAAAATAACTAAGAAATAGAGAAATTGAAAAAGACTAATGGAATACTGAGAAAAGGCTGGAAGCTGTAGAATCAGCTGGATGCGCAATCGCGCTGTCTTAAGCTGCAGGCAGTTGAGAAGGAACTGCATGGCGGCTGGTCCTTATCTGCCCTTGTTAGGAGGCATGAGGTGCTGCTTTGTGCAAGCACAGGCCCCAGACTCTGCTTTGCATTCTCGGGGTTGAGAGTGCACAGGTACTCCCATGGTGGAGCACCCATAGGTACAGATACTCAGAAAAGCAGCAGATATTCGGATCAAGCAGCCGCTGCATTTTACTGCCCCCAAGTGGTATAGTTAATTCGGGTGGTTCAGCTGCCTCCCTGGCATGAGCAGTGGGGACTCTCAAGTCCAGAGGTCCCCATCCTTTCTGTGGGAATAGCACATTCCTATTCCCAGAAGACTGTGGCAGGCGCCAGACACCCCGCTGCTGACATGCCGCCAAGAAGCGGCAGCGGAAAGAAGTGTCCCCGCGGAAATGCCAACTCTTCTCGGCGGCATTTCGGCAGGTGGTTCTCCGCCGGCCTTGCTCGGCAGTGGCATTTCGGTAGCATGGTGTCTTGCGGGCGCACACAACTGCTCCGGCAGGCACCACTGCACCCACGGGCACCACGTTGGGGACCCCTGCTCAAGTCGCTTGGACAGGCCACAGAATCCATTACAAACTACCAGCTGGGTTTCAGAGTAGCAGCCATGTTAGTCTGTATCTGCAAAAAGACAAGGAGGACTTGTGGCACCTTAGAGACTAACCAATTTATTTGAGCATAAGCTTTCATGAGCTACAGCTCACTTCATCGGACGCATTCAGTGGAAAATACAGTGGGGAGATTTATATACACAGAGAACATGAAAAGATGAAGTGAGCTGTAGCTCACGAAAGCTTATGCTCAAATAAATTTGTTAGTCTCTAAGGTGCCAAAAGTCCTCCTTTTCTTTTTACCAGCTGGGTGTGGTAACAATGGAAGATCTCTTGGCTATTCCCAGAGTGGGGTAAAGCTCAGGGCTGAGGGGAGATGCTGAACTGGCATCCCTGAAGAGCCAAGTCCCCTATTTAGCTTCTTGTATCTCTGCCCCGAACGGGTCTGGCCCTGACCCAGTGGGAACTCCCCTGGGAGATGCATGACACCACCTTGTGCCCCATGCTCATTCAACAGCATCTGTCGAGACCCCAGTAACATGCTGGCCTATGGGCAGAAGCCCCACATGGACTCTTGTATTACAGAGCCATTTCCAGCACTCCTGTCGCTGCAGCACACAAGTATCCAATCTGATGTGACACCTTTTGCTAAGAAATCCCCACGATTCAGAAATTCAGCCACAACAAGACAACTGCAGGGAGGAGCCTAATAGCACCCAGAGTTTACAGGATGCACTGGCTCACCAGCAGGAGGCAGCGAGCACGTGTACCACAAGCCCATCCCAGGCCCCTAGAGCAAAGGACATAAAGAAGGGCCAGACTGGGTCAGACTAAAGGTCCATCTAGCCCAGTACCCTGTCTTCCAACGGTGGCCAATGCCAGGTGCCCCAGAGGGAATGAACAGAACAGGCAATCATCAAGTGATCTATCCCATTGCCCATTCCCAGCTTCTGGCAAACAGAAGCTAGGGGCACCATCCCTGCCCATCTTGGCTAATAGCCATTGATGGACCTATCCTCCATGAATTGATCTAGTTCTTTTTTGAACCCTATTATAGTCTTGGCCTTCACAACATCCTCTGGCAAGGACTTCCACAGGTTGACTATGCATTGTGTGAAAAAACATTTCCTTTCGTTTGTTTTAAACCTGTTGCCTATTAATTTCATTGGGTTTCCCCTAGTTCTTGTGTTATGAGGACTAAATAACACTTCCTTATTTACTTTCTCCACACCAGTCATGATTTTATAGACCTCGATCATATCCCCCCTTAATCGTCTCTTTTCCAAACGGAAAAGTCCCAGTCTTATTAATCTCTCCTCATATGGCAGCCATTTCATACCCCTATTTTTGTTGCCCTTTGCTGAACCTTTTCCAATTCCAATATATCTTTTTTGAGATGGGTCGAACACATCTGCACACAGTATTCAAGATGTGGGCGTACCATGGGTTTATTTCAATGCAATATGATATTTTATATCTTATTATCTATCCCTTTCTTGATGATTCCCAACATTCTGTGAGCTGTTTTGACTGCTGCTGCACATTGAGTGGATGTTTTCAGAGAACTATCCACGACTCCAAGATCTCTTTCTTGAGTGGTAACAGCTAATTTGGACCCCATCATTTTATATGTATAGTTGGGATTATGTTTTCCAATGTGCATTACTTTGCATTTATCAACACTGAATTTCATCTGCCATTTTGTTGCCTAGTCACACAGTTTTGTGAAATCCTTTTGTAGCTCTTCGCAGTCTCCTTGGGATTTAACTATCTTGAGTAGTTTTGTATCATCTACGAATTTTGCAGCTTCACTGTTACCCCTTTTTCAAGATCATTTATGAATATGTTGAACAGGACTGGTGCCAATAGAGACCACTGGGGGACACCACTATTTACCTCTCTCCATTCTGAAAACTGACCATTTATTCCTACCCTTCGTTTCCTATCTTTTAACCAGTTACCAATCCATGAGAGCACCTTCCCTCTTATCCCGTGACAGCTTAGAGGCCTTTATTCATTTCTAGAATCGCGTGAAAGTTTTCATAAGCAGCACAAGGAGTGTAAAGCTCCTTTCCAGTACCGGAGATGTAGGCACCCTCCCTCTGCCTCAGGACCTCCTGTCAGATGGTGGATGACGGAGTGCGTGGCAAGCTGCCCCTGGCTGACTGCCAAGAAGGTGTCGTCCTGCAGCCAAGTGAAAAGCCGGAACGCTAGTGGGTTCACCTGCTTGCTGCCGCCGCACACCTCAACTCTGTACAATTGAAAGAGAGAGAAATTGAGAGTCAGTGTGCCCGTCACACCCACCATCGCTTCCTGGAGAAGAGGGCGACCCTGGCACTCCGGTCAGCAAGGGGATAGAAAAGGTTACTAAACTGTTCTGTAACTGTTGTTTTTCCAGACGTGTTGCACATGTTCATTCCGCTTCAGGGTTTGGTGCGCCCAGCGTGCGGCATTGGAGATTTTTCCCTTAGCAGTACCTGTTGGAACAATGCACGTGCCCTCTGCCACCTTGTGCTGCTGAGCGATAGTATAAAGGGCAGAGCCACCCCTGACTCCCCATAGCTCCTTCTTACTTGGCAGACAGTGCTATACAGGGTAGGGAGAGATGGGACATGGAATGGACATGTGCAGCGCATCTCGAACAAGAGTTACAGAACAGGTTATTGCCATTTTTCTTCTCTGAGTGATTGTGCATATCCATTCCACTTCAAGTGATGCACATTTGGTGAATTCAAGTGATGAATTCAGAGGTGGGGTTGGAGTCTGTCTGACCAGGGATTGTACAACTACACCTCCAAACCTGGCATTGTATCTAGAACATTGAGATATGGCATAATGAGATGCTAATATATGTACTGATGACCAAGTTGCAGCTATATAAATGTCCTGTATAGGCACCTGAGTTAGATAAACTTCAGAAGCTGTGCTCTCTCATTAAGTGTGCTACCATGCTACCTGGCAGAGTCACACTGGCAATGTGATAGCACAAACAGGAAATCCATGACAAGATTCTCTGAGTTGAGGCTGGAGTACCCTTCAACCTGTCCATGACTGCCATAAACAGCTATGAGAATGATCTAGTTCTGTCCAAGTGAAAAGCTAATGCTCTCCTGACATCCAATATATGGGCACAAAGCTTAGGAAAGAAGGCTGGTAAGTATATTGCCTGATTAGTTTCTCACTTGATGTCACTTTGGTCAGAAACTTAGGATATGGACATAAATATACTCTTAAAAGTATCCTTTTAAAAAATATATACGGTGGGTCAGATACCAGGGCATGAAATTTTCCTACTCGCCTTGCGGCAGTAATTGCCACCAAAAAAGGCACTTTTGTTGAAAGATGAAGCGACAAACAGGTAGCCAGCGGTTCAAAGGGCAGACCCTGTTAACATCAGATTTAAATCTAAAGGAGCGATACAATCCTCTACTTGGGAATGATAACCAGGCCAGACTCTTCAAGAATTGGAGGGACTTCAGACTAGAAAAAAAGGAGCAATTAGAAATTGGAGGGTAGAAAGCAGAGATAGCTGCTAGGTGAGCCCTGATGGAACTAACAGAAAGACTTTGCTGTTTCAGGAAGAACAGCCCAGAATATGCTGTATAGCAGTGGTCCCCAACCTTTCGGTGGGAATAGCACATTCCTATTCCCAGAAGACTGTGGCGGGTGCCAGACACCCCGCCGCTGCCATGCCGCCGAGAATCGGCAGTGGAAAGAAGCGCCGCTGCCATAATGCTGCCGAGAAACGGTGACGCTTCTCGGCGGCATTTCGGCAGGTGGTTCTCTGCCGGCCGCGCTCAGCGTTGGCATTTTGGCAGCACAGTATCCTGCGGGCGCACACAAATGCTCCAGCGGGTGCCACTGCGCCTGCGGGCGCCGCGTTGGGGACCCCTGCTGTATAGGAACCCAGAGAACCTGGAGAAACCCCTTTTGTTGAGACCACAGGGAGAATCATTTCCACTTTAACAGGTAAATATACCAAGAAGATGGTTTGAAGAGACTTCCTCCTGGGGCGTTACAGCCTGCACGCTCCATGGTTACGATGAAAAGCAATTGGCACGGGACAAAGAAGGTGACCATGGTCCTGTGAAACAGGTCTGCTGCCTCTGGAGGCAATGTCAATGGAGTCCTGACTGAGAGACTGAGCAGAGCAGAAAACAAATGCTGGCAAGGCCACGCCAGTGCTGGGAGGATCATGCGAGTATAATCCTGCTCGACTTTCAATACCCAGGGGAGGAGTGGAACCGGAGGGTAAGCATACATGAATTTGGTCTTTCCAGGGCAACAGGAATGCGTCTGTCAGAGACACTGGACTGTGACCTGCTCTTGAACAAAACTGCTGAAGCTTTATTGTGATGAGCTGAGTTACAAAGAGGTCTATGTGAGGAAACCCCGGGCTTAAAATAGGAGTCTGACTATATCAGGCTGGAGAGACCACTTGTGATGACTAGCAAAGACCTGCTCAAGTGGTCTGCTGGAATGTTCTGGACAACCAGATGGCAGGAGGCTTTGAGGTGAATCTCTGTGTTCCAAACGCCCAAAGGTGTATCTCCTCTTGGCATAAAAGACATGATATGGCCCCTCCCCATCTGTTCATGTAGACCATCTCTACTAGTTCTTACAGACAACACAGCAAATTCCTTCCCTTGATATGGAGGAGGAAAGCGTGACAAGCAAGATCAGGAATGGGCAAACTATGGCCCAGGGGCTGCATCTGGCCCTTCAGATGTTTTAATCCAGCTCTCAAGCTCCCGCCGGGGAGTGGGGTCTAGGGCTTACCCAGCTCCAGCACTCCAGCCAAGGAGCAGTGTCAAGGGCTTGCCCCACTCTGCATGGTTCCCGCAAGCAGCAGCATGTCCCCCCTCCAGCTCCTATGAGTACAGGGCAGCCAGAGGGCTCCGCACGCTACCCCTGCCCCAAGCGCCACCCCCACAGCTCCCATTGGCCAGGAAGCACAGCCAATGGGAACTGCAGGGGCAATGCTTGCAGATGGGGCAGTGCGCAGAGCCACCTGGCCACGTCTCCGTGTAGGAGCCGGAGGATGGACATGCCCCTGCTTCTGGGAGCTGCTTGAGGTAAGTGCCACCCAGAGCCTGCACCCCTGATCCCCACTATGCCCCAACCACCTGCCCCAGCCCTGATCCCCCTCCTGCCCTCTGAACCCCTCAGTCCCAGCCAGGAGCACCCTCCTGCATCCCCACCCCCCATGCCCAGTCCTACCCCAGAGCCCACCCCCGCAGCTAGAGCCCTCACCCCCTCCCACACTCCAACCCCCAATTTCGTGAGCATTCATGGCCCACCATACAATTTCCATACCCAGATGTGGCCCGCAGGCCAAAAAGTTTGCCCACCCCTGAGCTAGATGAATGGTTCTCAACTCCCTCATGTTTATGTGGAGAGCTAAATCTTGGCCATACCAGGGACCGTTAGTCTATAGATTCCCCAGGTGCGCTCCCCAACCTAGGGCAGAAGCGTCTGTAACCAGAGTCAGTATGGGTTGTGGGAGAACGAAGGGAACTCCCACACATACGTTAGCTGGGTCCAGCCATGAGTCCAAAGAGGCTAAGACTGTTGTGGGCACTCGGACCAATGTGTCCAGTCACATATTGGGGAGTACACTGAGCTCAGTCAGCTCTGCAACTTCCTTAGATGAAGACTGGCATGCTGAACCCCATACGTACATGAGGCCATGTGCCACAGAAGTCTAAGGCAGTTGCTTACAGCCATGGTTGGATGGGCCTTTACGTTTAATGTGATGGCTGACAGTCTGGACTCTGGTTTATAGGAAGAAAGCCCCAGCTACCATAGGATCCAAGACCACACCTATAAACTCTATTCTTTGAGCGGGGAGAAGACTGACTTTTCCTCATTGATCAACAGTCTCCCCCGAATTCTACCTGGTTCTTGGACTGATCTCTCACCAACCCGTGGTACAGGTATGGAAAAAAGCAGAACTCCTGTTTTCCTTAGGAATGCAGACCACCGTGCATTTTGTGAACACTCCCAGGGCCGTGGATAGGCCAACAGTCAGGAATGTAAACTGACCATAAATCTGAGCAATCTCCTGTGGCTTTGATGGATGGACACACGGAAATGTGAATCCCTCAAGTCAAGGGCAGCATACTAGTCACTGGGATCCAAGGAGAGGATAATGGATGCTAGGGTGACCATGCAAAATTCCTTTTGTATTCGTTCAGCTCTCTCAGATGGGTCTGAGCGCTCCTTTTGCCTTTGAAATTAGGAAGGGGAGAGGGATAGCTCAGTGGTTTGAGCATTAGGCTTGCTAAACCCAGGGTTGTGAGTTCAATCCTTGAGGGGGCCATTTACGGATCTGGGGCAAAAATTGGGAATTGGTCCTGCTTTGAGCAGGAGGTTGGACTAGATGACCTCCTGAGGTCTCTTCCAACCCTGATATTCTGTGATTCTATGAAACAGCATGAATAAAATCCTTTCCCTCTGTGGAGAGGAGGGATCTTCTCTATGGTTCCTAACAGGAGGAGAAACTGAACTTCCCAAAGGAGGACCTCCTGTGAGAGTGGCCTCTGTAAAGAGATGGATGAAGGGGATTGGGGGCAGGGAACAGAAATACATTGAAGGGTATTCCACAGTGTTTAGGACCCTCCAATCTGTGTTAGTATGGGTCCAGGTGCTTAAAAGTTCAAATAACCTATTGGAAAAAACAGGAACAGGAGAAGCTGGTGTAAGGCAAACTGATAAGCTGTCTTCAACAAAAGAATCAGACTGCTTTGCATTTCCAGGCTGTCTGGACAAGCTCACTGCGGATGAGAAATGAGGAGGTGGTAGTCTCCTCCTATGACTCTTCCTTTTCCTCCTAGTCTGGACAGGTTGTGACGGTGTAAAGGGCTGGTAACAGTGGAATGACTGATGGCAGAATTGCTTTTTAGAAAGTGGAGTATAAACCCCACAAACTTTAGCGTAGCCTTGGAGTCCTTGCAACTGTGAAGCTTATCAGTCTGATGGGAAAATAGGGTCAGTCCCTCAATGGGGAGATACCCAATAGTCTGTTGGACCTCCAGAGGAAGACCTGATGACTGAAGCCATGAACACTTACACACTGTGACAGCAGAGGCCCATGGCCCCGGCCGCAGTCTGTCCCATGCAAAGCAGCCTGGAAAAAGATCCAAGCAAACCATTTTCTCTTGTCCACTACTGCCAGAAACTCTTGTCTGGCATCTCAAGTAACTTGTCTACAAACTTGAGAACATTGCCCCAGTGGAAGAAATCTTATCT